AATTTCTCAGCGTGATCAATGCTTTCCCAAATGAGTCTTCTCAGTTTTGGTTTGGTCGCAAGCCAGGATTCTGACGAGTCAGTGGTGGTTGAAATCTTCAGGGATCTTTTGAGGGCCTTCCTGATGCATTTCTGTTGTCCTCCTAGGAGTTTCCTTTCAAGATCAAGTTCTGGACAGAGCAACTACTTCCAGAATTTAATGTCAGGCATATTAATGACCAATAAACCATAGTTATATTAATTTGATTGGCTATAAATCATGACTAAAATGTACCTCTTTACACAATGTTGGAACTGGACAAGAAATAGTCTCCCCCAAATGAACAGCGAAAAGATCAAAGTCACTGTCTTTGATTCTAGCCACAAACTTCTGTCCTTAAACATTGATCCCAACTGACTCCATTGTAACTGTCTGAGGCAGTCCAAGGATCAACCAAATGGTTCACAACCTTCAGTGTTACAACTGTGATGATCATGGATCTGCAGCATCACTAAGACCAGCTGCTTCCATCTCTGAGACATCGTCCATCTGATCTGCCTCAGCTTAAATGATTCTGAGACTTTAATCTCGTCTTCTGTTAGCTTCAAATTTGACTACCCAAGGACCTTAAAACTAACCCATCACTTTGCACTATACATAAACTCCAATTTGTCTAAAACTACTGCCCGTTGCTTCCCCATACTTCCGACATCATCCTTGTGCTGATTGGCCTACATTGACTCTGCAGCAATGTCTCAGGTTTGTAATTCCCATCCTAGTTGTTAAATCCCTCCATGGTCCCAAACACTTGTAATCTCCTCCAGCTCTATCCAAGATCTGAGATCTTTGTGCTTCCCTTGTTCTGGCATGTGCACATCTTTGACTTTAATTGAACCACTATTGGTAACTGTGCATTCAGCTGCCAAGGTCATAAGATCTGGAAATCTTTCCCTGTACTCTGTGCCTCTCTATCTCTCTCTCTTCTTTCAATGAGTTTCCTAAAATTAACCTTCTGGTTCAAAGTTAATGGTCACCTGCCCTGACATCTCCTTACTTGTCTCAATGTCAGAATCTGTTTCCTAATACTCTACTGAAGCATTCTGAAATATTGTACTCTGTTCAATGTGTTGTATAAATGTAAGTTGTTGTTGTATACCTAGCTGTAAACTTTTCGTACTGCCTGCCTAGCTAACACAGTGCTTTTTACCTAGCTATAAACTATTAACTGTGTACCCAGTGATAAATACTTAGAGTTGTATATGTGGTGAATCTTTATAAAATGTTGCTTAAGACTCAGCTGGAGAACTCTGATCGAGTCTGGGCACTGCACTTTAAAAGGAATTTAAAGGCATTGGAAATGGTCTAGATTTACGAAAAAAGGTGATGAAAGAGTTATAAAAATGGATTGTCCATGCTGGAGGCATTCTATTTTGAGAAAAGAAAGCTGGAAAGAGATTTGATTATGGTGTTCAAAATCATGAGGGGTCTGGATAGAGTAGATAAGGACAAACTATTCCCATTAGTGGAAAGATCAAGAACTAGACAGCACTGATAGTTGATTGGTAAAAGAGCTAGTGGTGACAGGAAGAAAAACATTTTACACAACATGTAGTACCAACCTGGAATGAACTGTCTAAATGTCATACTCTGGCAGAGTCAACAATGATTTTCAAGAGGGATTTGGATAAATTTTTGAGACAAAAAGAAAAGCAGGAATGTGGAGAAAGGGCAGGGGAGCAGGGCTATTTTGAGTAGCACTTTTTTTTATTATTTTTCTTGTTAAATTTCACATGAGCATAAATTCTAAATTCATGTTATTAGAGAGGCAGCATCAGCATAATGAGTCAAATGTCCTTCCATAGATCTATAAAGTTTCCATGCTTCTAATCATTTTTGGACATTTCTGTAACTCCCATCATAAAGGTCAGCTACATCTCTGTAAAAGTGAGCATTTAGTAGCTTTTCAATACTTAAAAATATTTTGTCTTTCTATCATTTCCAGCAAAATGAATAACCACACACACTCTCACATTATTCGCTGTATGCCACTTTCTCACCAAATAAATTAACTCATGTTATATTACTTTAAAATCTCTTCACACCTGGCTTTATAATATCAGTAAACTTATTATGAGATAGTAGGAACTGCTGACGCTGGAGAATCTGAGATAACAAGGTGTAGAGCTCGATGAACACAGCAGGCCAAGCAGCATCAGAGGAGCAGGAAAGCTAACGTTTCGGGTCTGGACGCTTCTTCAGAAAAAACCCTTTTTTCTGTTACATTCTTGTTACACTCACAAAAGACTCTGGTAGATTTATCAAATGATATTTTGCTTTCATAAAATTACATTAACACTGCCTGATAATATTATGAGTTTCTAAATGTTCCATTAACACCTCCTTATCTACTCTAACCTGACCCATCATAACTGAGATCAGACTAAACTTCGCTTTGTTGATGGCTGTTTAAATCACTCTGCCAGTGATTGAAAATACATTTATAAGGGAGGTATTTTGTCACAGTGATTGTCCCACTCCAGAATGCACATTCATAATGCAGTCTAGCAGGTTGAGTATGAACTTGTAAATCCTCCCAACATATGCAATGCTAGGTACTAAGAGTATGAAAGATTCATGTTGAGCCATATGGTGCAAATAAATTGGAGTCGCTAACATCACTATCCATACGACCAGGCTCCAAGGTACAAGATGATATAGCCAAAGCAACTAAGACTTCTTGGGGGCCATAGAGTCATAGGGACGTAGGGCATAGAAACATGTCCACCTCATCCATGCTGATCAGATATCCTAAATTAACCTAGTCCCACTTTTCAGAATTTGGTCAATATCCCTTTAAAATCTTCCTATTCATGTACCCATTCAGATGCCTTTTAAATGGTGTAATTGTACAAGACCCCACCACTTCCCCTGGCAGTTTATTCTATACATGCTGTACCCTCTGTGTGTAAAGGTTGACCCTTAGTCTCTTTTAAATCTTTCTCCTCTCACCTTATACCTATACCCTCTAGTTTTGGGCTCCCCTACCCTGGGGAAAGGCCTTGACTGTTCACCCTATTCTATAAGGTCACCCCTCAGCCTCTGATGCTCCAGGGAAAATAGCTCCATCCTATTCAGCCAATTGGCTGGATAGCTGATATAGATCAGATATGCATTGTTATAGGATTGTTATAGCACAGAGAACACCATTCATTTCATCTGTTCTGATTCTTCATCATTCCTTCACTTTCTCCTCAGAGTTCTAACATTCTTTCAATTCCCTCCGAAGCCTCAATTTTAACCTGTCTTGACTGCACTATCAGGCAATGCTTCCTAAATCCTTACTACTCACTGTATGAAATGGTTTCTCATGTCACTGTTGTGTCTGTTGACAACTACCTTGAACACGTGCACTGTCATGTTGATCCTTCCACAAGTGGAAACTGTGTTTCCTATCTACTCTGTCCTGAATAGATTTTTCTTGCCTCAAACTTTTTCTCAACCTTCTGTTCTATGAGGAAAACAGTCCTATCTACATAACTGAAGTTCTTCATCTCTAGAACCACATTTGTAATTTTTCCTTAACATCTTTCCTCATGTGTGGAACCCAAAGCTGGACACAATATTTTAGTTTGAGGCTAAATAAGTGTTTTATACAAGTTCAACATGGTCTCATTGCTCTTGTAATCTAATTCCCTTTTAATTTATTATTGAACTTGCTTCCTTTATCTTTCCCTGTCATAATAAGTCACTGTAAAAAAAGTATTCTCTTCAACTTGTCTCACACTTTTCTCAGTTACTTTAAATCTATCTTCACTTGTAATGACCCTTCTGGAAACTGGAAACAGCTTTTCCCAACAAAATCTTAATAGTAATGAACCTTCCTTGCTCTGAGGATAATTACTTATCTTCTCCAGTCTCTTAATGCAACTTCATCCCTTGCACCATTCTAGCAAATGAACTTAAGTAATACAGTGCCAATGTTAAAATACTGATCAGCTATAGTCTAATTAGACGGATGCATTGAATGATATCCCCATTGTTTGGTCATTATTTCATTCCTGTTTGGGGAATCTTTCTGTGTGCAAATTATTGGCAGTGTTTCCTGCATCAAGACAGTGACTGCACTTTAAAAAGTAATTCATTGATTGGAAACCTCTTTCAGATACCTCGGGGAATTACGCTATATAAATGTAAGTCTCCCATGCACCAAACAGTTGTTTTATGATTATTGTCATTCCAATCCAGTATCAATACTTCTAATTACACCCGGCTGGCTTATCCAAGAATCAGTAAAGTTTGAAACAGCACACAGTTCCGGTCAGCTCGACACATTGAGCGCCTCTCGATATGTTTCTCCATGAAGCTGATCCATTGGATTGAATGTTGATGACGTAATGCTGGAGAGAAACACAGTGGCTCCTAATCTTTCAGCACCTCAATCCTTTGGACAGCTCCTTTCCTTCAGCGCCTCTCACTCCATCCAGCCTACAGAGAGCTCCTTCCTTCTTGCACCACTTACTCCCACCAGTCTGTGGCCAGCTCCTCCCTCCAAAGTGCAACTGACCGACCGTGGATTTTCAGAGAGGTTCGGCATTTTCGTTGCAGAACACGGTACATTTCAACATTGGAAGTTCAAGATAAAAAGAGGAGGGGTTTAGAAAAACTGGCTCTCTCTCTCTCTCTCTCTCTGGGAGTTATTGCTCCGTTCCTATCATTGGTTGCAAATTAATTGTTAACCGGGACTCCAGGCAGCTAAGCCACCTGCACACGGTATGTACAGGGGATGTGCGGGATATATACAACGCTGGGTTCTTCGATTCTAGAGGTAACAGACCTTTCAGACTGTCTTGGTCTATTTTGCGACGACTTTAAGGAAAAGAACAATCGCTTCCAAATGTGTTTTAACAAAAGCACGTGAGCTGGTTCCAAGCCAGAGTAACGCAATAGAATTAAATTTGTATTTCGTTAGAGGGAGGGTGAAATCAATTTCTTTTCAATCGATAGAATCGCGGACGAGGAAAATGGAAGCTGCCCCTGAATACTCGCTTTTTCTCGTCCGGATCTTGGAAGAACTGGATACGAATCACAGCACGGTTTCCTATCAGGATCTGTGCAAATTGCTTTGTGCTCGTTTTGATTTAACTCATTTGGCAAAGCTGAGGAGCCTATTGTTTTACACCGCCTGCTTGGACCCGAATTTCCCAGCCACTCTTTTCAAAGAAAAATTACGGTGCAATGTGGATAGCCCCCAGTCCAAAAAGATCATGATAGCCGCCGATATCGTCACCATGTTTAATCTGATTCAGATGAACGGGGGTGTCGCGAAGGAAAAACTGCCTCACCGACACCAACACAAGGTGAGAAAGAACGAGTCTTTTGATGGCTGTCGATCAGATACAGAAATCTGTCAGGTTCGGTCCCCTGTATCCAGCCATGACTCCATAGACAGAGATGTTTGCAGTGAACACTCGGCAGCAGGAGACTCGAATACATGTCCCACAGCTGACATTAAGGACTGCCAACGTCTCATTTGCACTTCAGATCCCAATTTTTTCCTTGGAATCAGGAATGAAGGGATAGAGGAGAATAAGGGCAGGGCAGCCTCACTTGATAGACTCCAAGCATCGCCAACTTTTAACAGTATAGACCCTCAGGCGTGTGTCATGCAGACCACGTACTTCCCCATGGACCCCAGCCAGGATTCAAACTCAGATCAAGACTCCCCGAGCAGGAAAACAGACAGGAATGGGACATTTGATTCCAGTGATGAAGCATTCACCATCTCTCCCTGTGTACATGGCAGACCTGTGTTCAATGGAGAGCTACAGGACGTGCTTCCTTGCATTGCCAAGTTCGTGCCAATGGACAAGGAGTCTGAGGATGAAGACAATGGCTCCCACGTTCGGAAAAATGGGTCACGTTTCTCCACCTTTTTCAGTAACAGTTTCGAGATGCCTTACAACAGTCCGTACTGTGACTCAATGCCATTCACAAGTCAAGAGAAACGATACGTCAAACATGAAAGTTTGGATGACCTACAAGGTAGCACCTATTTTGGTCCCAGCACAATATCACAAGAGCCCCGAAAACTTTCCTCTAAACCAAACAAGCCGACCTCCTGGCTCCTAAAGAGCTGGAGTCTGAACAATGAGACTGCTCAGGACTGTGAGCAGTATTTTGCTGGAGAGAAGCCCAACACTCACAGGTATCAGAGCAATGTCAAGGAGGAGTTGCTAGCCGAGGCTCGCCAGAGACAGGCTGCGGCAGCTGCGGATGCGATCAGCACCGTGGACAGGGCACAGGCTTACTTCAAACAGGCGGCTGCCGGCGGCGAGGAGGCACTGGGGTCAGTGGGCAAACCATTCAACTCAAAACTGGCCACGACCGGCCACTGTAACCAGAGGAATGTGAAAGATAAAAGTGTGAACTGCACATCGCAGGTGCAGAGCTTTGAGAAGACAACAAGTGTGGGCACCCAGACTGAACAGTCTGTCCGGGGCAAGGGTAAGGATGGTAGCCATGGGCATCAGCCCAAGTATGGGGAGAAAGTGCCCCTGAAACATTCAGACGAGGACTCTGAGGCTCTTAGTGATGATATCAGTGATATATTTAGGTTCCTGGATGATATGAGTGTGAATGGCTCCACTGGACTTTTGCAGTCCTGTTACAACAGCAGTGGTTCCCTGACCCGTCTGCCCAAATCAGACAGTGGCAGCCTGGAGCGGACCCCAGTGAAAGCCAATGCCCTCCAGAAGGATCAGGGCAAAGGGCTTCTCTCCAAACAGCCCGGGGATGAGGAACTCAAGATGAGCGTCTGCAAACTGGTGCTAAGGATCGGCGAGATTGAGAAAAAATTGGAAAGCCTGTCTGGGGTTCGGGATGAGATCTCCCAAGTCCTGTCCAAACTCAATAAATTGGACCAGAAGATCCAAGAGCCAGCCGGGGAAAAGTTGTCCCCTGCCAGCAACCAGGAGAGTCTCCGAGTCAAAGCCCTGAGAAAGAATTTGTTCGTCAGAAGATCTTCCAAATCCCTAACAGAGGAAAACAGTGCCACTGAGTCCAAGATTGCCAGCATTTCCAACTCTCCTCGGGACTGGAGGGTTGTGGGCAACAGCAGTGAGCCTGGCATCACCCTGGAGGAGGGCAAGCAGCAAGTGGTAACAGACAACAAGGATTGGCAGCGCAAGACCAGAGAGGTATTTGCAATACTTTCTGACAAATTGGCATCTGTTTCTCATCTTGTTTCTGGGAGAATTGTTTCAGCTGAAGCTAGTTACTTTGCCAACTGATAGCAAACCTACCATCTTAGCAGGAAAAAAGAGTGAGTTTTAGAGAATTGAGAATGTTTGACTTAGATAATCCAGCTAAATTGGGTGATACTCCCTGCTAATTAAACAACATCAAAGTCAAGTGGGTCAAAAACAATCATTGACTGTTAATTTCAAGGTGTTGGAAATTTGAAAACTATAGGCAATGTTTAAAAAAAAACTGGGAAGGAATATGTGACAGGAACCAAAGATCGCACCTATAGAAAACACATGACAAATGCAAAACAATAATTTTTATATTGGCAATAAATGGCAGATGTGAATGCAGCTGAATCCAGAGTTGGGATCAACCCCATAAAGAACACTGAATGGCACACTGCATTTCTCACAATCCCTCTACTCATGATATTGTTGACAATAAGATTATAGTGATCATCACTGAGCAGTCCCATGGGTGGTCTGTTAAAAACGATAGAGGCAGGCATATATATATGTTTAGTGTTATCACTAGACCAGTAATCCAGAGAGCCAGGTAATGTTCTGGGAACTCAGGTTTAAATCCCAGCATGGCAGATGGTAGAGTTTGAATTCAATAAAAAAAAATGCCAAATGTTGGGGAAATCCCATCTGTTTCACTAATGTCCTTTACGGAAGAAAACTGCCATCCTTACCTGGTCTGGCCAACATGTGACTTCAGACCCATTGCAATGTAGTTGACTCATAACTGCCCTTTGGGCAATTAGGCATGGACCAGCTGGGCCAGCCAGCAATGTCCACATTCCATGAATGAAAAAGAAGTCATACAAGATTTTGCAACATACTGGCATGGCAGAAATTGGCACCATGACTTGCTGGTGGGTGCTAAATATGTGTTGAATAAATCAGAAATTAAGATTCCACCTGACTCAAGAGGGAAACATAAGAATTAAGAGCAGGAGTAGGCAATTCAGCCCTTCAAGTTGCTCCACCATTTGATATGATCATGGCCAATTACATCTTGGCCAGAACTCCACTTTCCTGCCAACTCTCCATAATCATTCAATCCATTACTAAATAAAAGCTATCTATCTCCTTCTTAAATTTACTCAATGTCCCAGCTTCTATCCCACTATGAGGGTAATGAATTCCACTGATATATGACACTTTGAGAAAGGTAATTTCTCCTCATCTCTGTTTCAAATCTGCTGTCTCTTGTCCTTACACTATGACCTTTCATTCTAAGTTGCCCCACATCAGGAATCATCCTGTCTACATTTACTTTGTCAATGCCCTTAAGCATCTTATATACTTCCATTGGATCCCAATTTTATTCTTCTAAACTCCAGAGAGTATAGGGCTAAACTACTCAACCTCTCTTCGTAAGACAAAATCTTCATTGAACTTGTCTCTTCGCTGCAGTTGATTCTTAATTCATAGCTTACACACATGCATTTAATTCACTTAGATCACTTTACACAAATATTAAACTTACAGCATAAATACAATGAGAAAGATCTTTTCTTTAAATGGAATTGAAACATGTACCAGTGACATATTAAGTTAAAAGATGATTTAAGCATTGTTTCTGTTGTGAAATGTTTTACGTTAGACATAATGTTAATGGCACGATCATCTCTTTCTTACCATTGTCAGCTGAGAAATTTCCAGCTGTGCATCAAACTGTTACAAAACTTTCAGGTTCAGGTTGAAGAGTTGACTCTTAACAACTGCAATTACTCTGGAGCAAATGTGAAACTAAATCATATTTAGTCACTTCAAGATTTATCCACATGCAGCACGAAATGCAGGCTACAGATTATTGCACAAGGCCCCTTGCAGTGACGTGAAAGGTGTATTATAATGCAGTCTGAGTGATGTTTGGAAGATCAAACCAGACTGAGGAAAGAAGAAATAAATGATGAAACATGATTTCTAGATGTGCATCATTTTATCTTTGACATGAACTGGCACTTGGACAGAAAGTGTTGCAGCTTCAAATCATTCTTTTCTGCTAGTTGCTTCTACATGTACAAATCCGTGAGATTTCGAAATATAATCCTCGTAGTCGGTCCATAAATATACTAGTCATTGCAGTCTCAACATGCTCTTATTCTCAATCATGAAAAATACCAGTATAAGTTTAAAACAATAAAAAATGTTGTACGTATGATGTCACATGTACAAGGAGACCTTCAGAAAGATCTATCTCTATGAACTGAAGATTAAGCTCTCTGGACAACAGACACAGAAGCAAAATCACCATTTATACATTGTTCTGAACAAAAAAATGTATTACATCTGGATATTTTGATGAATATAAATATCACTCAACCTAGTCAAAGAGAACATACAGCACTCCATTGGCCAAGGAGGCAGGTCCTGAATCCAGCCAAACTGGAATGAGGATTGAATCCATACTGTTGGCACCAAACTCATCTACATTAACTGTTCAGCCAACTGAGCCTACTGGCCCCCTAAAGAATCCATGCTGTGGTGGAGACAGGCACTTTTACCTGTTGTAGTTCAGAGCTATGGATAGTGATGGTTGAAGCTCCAATTTATTTTTTTCACATGGCTTGACCAGGAATCTGTCCTCCTCTTACCACCTGCTATTAGTGTGTATTTAAGGGATTTACAAATTCATACTCACTTCATTTGTCCAAATTCCAAATGTATTTTCCTTGGCCATCAAGTTTTGGGATTGAACCCAGAGCTTCTGCCTCAGAAAAGCTGCCCATTGCATCACAAGACCTCCATTTATCAGTGAATGATACACTTAAAATGGGATAGCTTGAAGGGCAACATGGAGACAGCAGGTTAATGCGATGGATTGGTTGCTCTTTTCAAGAGCTGAAGAGGCATGATGGGTCAAATGGTCTTCGTCTGTGCTGTATGATTGTATAATTCCATGATATTGCATAACACGGTCTCAAAGTTGTACCTTTTCATTTCACACCTTTAGTAGTGCATGATAGGCTCATGCATGATTCTTTGTGGGCTCCAGATCTATTGTACCACATTGTTAGTTCTGACATGCCCCTCCATTCCTGTAATGCATTCCCTGTCATTCAGCCTCATGGAATAATGAAACACCACAAGCAATTACTATGTCTCATAAAATCACAAATGGTAATAGGTATAGTGGAATTGGGTCAAAATCCTGGAGCTCCCTCTCTAACAGCATTGATGGTCCACCTAGAGCACATGAACTACAACGGTTCAAGCAGCAGTTCACCACTACCTTCTCAAGGGCATGTAGGGATGAGAAGTAAATGCTGGCCCAGTCAGTAACACCCATGTCCTATAAATGAATAAAAAAAAATCAGCACAGTGTGATGGAATAAAGCAGTTTAATGGCATATTTTATTATAACTAAAATATGGGATGGATTGGCTGATCCATACTAATTTGTACTTTCTTATTTAGTTAAGAAAAAATGTCATGTGCTAACAGTAACACCAGTAGGAGTCTCCTGGTTATAAAGTATAAATCTTTGCTATTAGTGAAAACTTATCTGGGTGTGGGATCTATTAGATTGGATAGCAACATGACTGTAATTAGCCCTATTTTCTTTATGAGTAGATTCAAGAATATAGGAGGATTGACATTTTTGAAGTCCAAAAATCAAAGTATTCCCAAAGGAAAATACTCAGTGTCAGCCTTGGTGGGCGGCAAACAGTTTTTTATGATTAATAGGCCACACAGCTCTGATCCCTCCCTTAAATATGTTACTGAAAATATGCATGAAAATATGCATATTTTAATACCATAAATAAATTGTGCTGATTCTGTCTACTATACCACAAAAGATTCGATTAGACAATATCTGTCTAGATGACACTACAAGGGTTATAGATCCACTTGCCATGAAACTGCAAAACAAAATATTGAGCATCAGCCACTTTTTTACATAGCAGACAAATTGGTTAAATATTGGATAACAAC